AGAATAGAGGTTGTGTCCTTTCCTTTACGATGCAGAGTAACCTCCAGATCCTTTTTCTGCATTGAAGTATTCCAACGCTCTGCCTCATCTTGATACAAGCTAAGCACCCTAACCTCTGTTCCTTTCAAGGACGATGCAATTCCAGCAAAGGCATGTGCCCCATTTCCACTTCCACAAATCAACAGCTTGATGGTGTCCCCTAAACTCATTTCCTGTAAACAATAACAAAATAAGTTCCATTAAATTAAAAAAAATTAAAAAAAAATTAAAAAAAATTTGTGACAATAATTTTTTTTTTGTCAAAAAATGTACCATTTCCACATTCCGCTCCAGTGAGCAAGCACAGAGAAATAAAGTATGGGATTCTAAATGTACATTAGTGCAAAATACGAGTAACGGTTAGCAGACAAAAAAAAAATTAATAGGTAATTGCCTATCACTATAGTTATAAGCCTGACCATTTTCCTGCTCCATTCAATCTGATTGATTTAGTACTCATGAACCATTTACTTTTTGTAAACTACATGTTATGAGACTGTGCCTATGTACAAATGAAATGTGCAGTTCAGTCAAAATGATCATTGGGTTAAAATACTTTTGGTCAAAGTAGTCAAAAGTAAGCCAAAACAGTCCTTTTGTACTTTGAGCAATTCTGTGCTCAACGTTGTTCCCAGCCTCACTCTCCTTACCCGAGGTAGGAGAGAACGCTGGGTAAGAGATTGTTCTGTGCTATGAACTTATGTTTTGCAAGCTTTTAACCTATGAAAAACAGACTTGTAACAACCACTCCAACTACCCTGAAGAGTTAAATGAGGTTTTAAATTTTTTTATTTCATTTTTTATTTGTAAAACTTAAGAAACCATATAAATTGTTAAATATTTTTATCAGTCACGTATCACTGGTGGGGAAAACTGCTTGGTCATGAATAATTTAGCTTGGCTACATCCTATAATTTAAACCTTTTTCTGTTGTGGTTGTTTTTGATTATCATTAATAATAAATTTCCTTTATTTATCGTCAACAGTATTTAGAGCACAAAAGCTGCTGGGGCTGAGCAATAATAATGACTCAAGCAAACAAATGTTAATGAAACAAAAACTGCTTCCTTCCCAGTCAGTGTTTACACTGGAGGAGTTCGTTTGTACCACTGAGTAAGAATTCACCTTACATGTATATAACTTATTAAATACTTCCAAAGAGAAAAAACAGTTTTGATTTAGGTCTGCAACTAAATTTACGCTACATCTCTATTTTTATGTACCGGTAGTTAAAATTTAATTGTAAATTAGCAGTGGGCTTCAGTGTAATTTTTAACAAAGTACTGATCATTGATCTTTATTTACATATTTTTATAACATGCAAGGATTCAATCACATTTGTACACTTAACTATAAAGTGCATTATATGGACAAAAAATAGCAAACAATGATAAAAAGGTTACTGCTAGTTTGTTTTCACCCTAGGAACATGGGGCAAAGTCTCTTACATTTGTTAACATTGCTGTAGCGGTGACAAAGAACTTGCATATTCTAAATTGCTAGATATCAATAGACCTGTTTATATTGCCACAAAATGTTACAATCTGTAAATTCAGCATCAGCACGTACTCTTCACGTTTTTGGCTCTATATTATCAGATCGATCAAAGTGGCATTTGGTTCACAGGTCTAGTAAATCTACTATTAATACATTTTCCCCTTTCTATATCAGCAGTGTAATCATGAGTGAGATAATATTAATATTATTGTGATTTAAGGCCTACTTATGTTTTTAAAGGAAAGGTAAACAGAAACTCGATGTTTTGATGTTAATAACAAAATTTACACTTCAAGTTCTTAGTGCTTTTTTATATGATATTTTTTTATCGAATAGTTGTTCTTAGTGGCAAAATGCCTGCCATGAAAAAAGTGTTCAACTTCTACTCATTTCCAGTATCTCTAGGTCAAGTCAATTTTGTTTTGTGTTTGACCTCAACCAATCACCATGCATGAACCCGATAAACAGGAATGGTTAGGGTCTTGCCTGCCGGTGGAATAAATTCCCTATAAAATTGAAAACAGATGGGTAAAAACCCTTTGCAGCTTGCTACACTGTATGCCAATAAGGACTAAGCATTGTGATCCTGCCAGCTAGATTTGAGAAACCAAGCCCAGTGAACCCAGCCCCCCGTGGTTGCCATCCACGGTGCTAACAAAATTGTAAATTTCCACACCTGTTTCGTCAGAACTCTACAGAACAATGAATAAATTTTCCACTCCCCTGTTGCAGAGAATCTCAACGACACCATATTCCCCTGGGGCAAGTAGATGACATGTGCAGAAGGTCGTCATGGCATCGATTGCACAACGTTTAGATCGAGAACTGGTACCCTAGCTATGATCCCGTAAGAATGGTCCAAGTAAATACCTTCGTAAGGCAGAATACACTACCAACTTCAACAGATTTGGTCGTTACCGTATGCCTTAATATGTCAACAATAAAAAAATGGCGGAAAAGCCATTCACTCTAGATAGCTAACTTACACGCAGACAAAAAAAAAAACTCTAAACATTGGCATTCTACAAATCGAAGTACCAGAAAATAATATGCATTGTCAATGAAATACAGATAAGTGACAGGATATTCTTTGGGTTCTAAAAACATGCAAAATCGAATACAATAGCGGCCTCGTGCGCGGCCGGCTTCGGCGACCCAATGTATATAATTTAGGAACCAGTTGTACATGTTAAATGACCTGAGACGGAAATTAAGGCTTATGGGATAAAGGTAACTTACTGAGTAGAAGTGTTTCACTTACCGAAGAAAAACGTTTCTGCTGGTTTAAAAAACTGGAACTATAACAATCCCTGTATCGTAGTTCTTGGCAGCAGCCACCAGTGAGTACAGAATAACGCGTCACGCAATTCAAATTCGTGACGTCATTGCGGACACTCCAAGAGGACGTGCGATAAAACACGACTGCTTTGTTGAGGCCCCTCAATTTAAGATGATTGAGCATCCATCGCATTTTGATCTTAAGATGAAACAAATTTGAATACAATGATACAAGCAGAAGTTTCAATCAGAAATGAGTTTCTGTTTCAATAGAAACGATACCTTTTTAATAGACGTACCTGCAATGGATATGTTTCCGGGGTTGTTCTGATTGTGTTAGGTGGTCCAAGCCCACATAAGCGGGTAGTCAAGGCGACTACTGCCCAGTTTATCTTGGCTTTTTGTTTCCAGTTTGCAATTTACATCAGTTGAATTGTTTTCCAAAACAGCGATGATTATCGTTTATCAGCGAAAAAAAAAAAGATTCCATAGTAAACTTCTGTTTGGAATACTAGTATGATACGATAGATCGTCACACTAACAAGTTTGCGAGAAATGACGTGGGCGAAGGTCTGGAACGAGTATGACAAACATCTTTTACCGATACCAGGAGCCCATTAAGCAAACTCCATGCCGTTTTGGCGTTTTCAACGATCAGTTTTTTAAATAGAAAGATTTTGCTGCGAATTTATCCTGAATACATATATAAGTTCCACATAATAGTCTGCAAAAAAAATGGTATTTTTAACCTTTTAATGACGTTTCGTCTTATTTTTCGAATGCAATCACAGACGGCAAAGAGCAGCACCCCTTTTTGTGGGGATAATATCTCTAAAATGTAAAAGGAAAAGGTTTAAATTCACTCCAACGAAAACAGTTAAAATCAAGGGAAAAAATAGATTGCTTCTATCTCACTGTTTCTGATAAAGTTTTTCGCATTTCAATCGCATTGTTTCTCTGTTGATCGAAATTAGCAGCTAACTCTTAAACTGGAAAATAGAAGAAAACTGAATGCAGGGCTGGCACTACGGCAATTAAAGGGCTGATTTATTATAAGCCAATAGTTCGGCTAACAAAATTAGCCTTCCTCAGGGCCAGAGCTATACCGGGAGAACAACATCTCATGTTAACCTCCCAGGGGGTATTTAGAAAAGTTTTCTATGGGGAAGCTCCGCCCCTAGTTCCAACCCCTTACCCGGCCCTTTTAAATTTTATTTTAGGAGTCCATTTGACAGAAAACGTACGCCTCCTATTGAAAAATGATACTGCCCTTTCATACTGACCTAGTTTAAGACTTTGCATCCCTTTTAATTTCCGATAAAAGCACTGTTTTTCTAAATAATTTTTATGAATACATCGGAAGGTTTTCGCTACTTTTCACAGCCATAAAATACCTCTCTTAGCCGACCGATGACAGATTTCCCTACTCTTTCTATACTTCACTTTGCAACGAACAATTATCAACCTCTTTTCCAGGGTTCTCAGAGAGAACCCTGGGAACGAGGTTGTCGAACAGTCTGAATGGTCTCTGAATGGTTGACCTGTGGTTTTATTACGTCATCTTCGCGTCTTGTCTTTCACGTTCAGGAAAGATAGCTCAAGAGCAAACCAGCTCGTTTGTCAGTCTGGCTGCGTTGAAGTGATTTCTCTCGGTGACTTCAGTCTACGACCATGAGCGGGAGTCCGACAAGCTGGGCTGTTTTCCGACGTCTACTTTCGACAGTTTCTCCTATCAAAGGTTAGTAAGTGCGCCAAGGAAAAAATAGAATAGCACACGAACCTCTCGTAAGTGCAGCGACGACCCTCACTGACCCGCGTTCTTTTTTAATGACTGATATATATATATTTTTATATTTAGTCTAACTAAGTGCCATTATTGTACCTACAACCAATTTAAATTGCGGGCCTACAGTAAAGCTTCAAACCTCGTAAACGCGGGCGGATATTCCTTGACATTCGACAACCTCGGAAACTTTTTTGATAAACAGACGGACCTTTTCTGGTTAAGTCTATATGGGAGTAACAGCTCGAATAAAACCTGATTTGCTTCAATTAATTGCGATAACGTCTGTAAAATTACGCCTTGAACAAGCAAACATTAGAACAAGCAAGGTAGTCCTTAATTTAATATCCAAATTTGAAGGCTTCCGGTTTTACTCAGTTCGTTAAGTGACCGAGAAAATTTTGTCTCAGATGACGCATTGCGTCCATTGTAAACAAAGTAATTTTATGATTTATTGATCATGAGGTTATCTAGGCTTCAGAGAGTGTCCAACAGGGCTTTTTTTCCCAAGCAATTCAGGGTTAAATCTTTACAATACAATACTAAACAGAAAATACTCCTCACGTAACACAAAACTTAAACGGTTTCGGTTTCCGAGAAATTACGCTGCTCGAGTGGTTTCTTGGAAAGCTTCCAAGCCTTTTTCAAAAACACCATAATACTTTTTGTCCGCCCTCTAAAATTTTGCATCCGTAGACACCACTAAAAAAGGATGCCTTAAAAAATGAGTAAAATTGCCAGTCTTTAGCGAGCAAAGATCTCCCCAACAGGGGCGGATCCAGGATTTTTCTTAGGAGGGGGTGCACCACTAACTGACTGATGACGTAAAAAATTTTAAAAGCGAATACGAAGAAGAGGGCTTTTGACAAGGAAATAACATTATGTGAACTGCTGAGAATACATCTCAAACGATAGAGCAGATTGTGTATGTCTGTCAAGCGACTGCACAGTGTTAATTAGAAAGCGGCCGCAGGTCATCCCAGGGGGGGGGGGTGCGCACCCCCTGAAGGTCATCCCAGGGGGGGGGGGGGTGCGCACCCCCTGCACCCTCCCCCTGGATCCGCCCCTGCCCAAGTTGCAATAATTTACAGACGTTTGTATGTTGGGGAGCACAAACTTGCAAAATTTCGCGACTTTGAGGAGCTGTATCTTCATTACTTTTTAACAAATCACTTTCAAACTTAGCATTTTAACTGATTTTAAGGCGCTACTTTTCAGTGGTGTCGATGGATTTTCCCGAACTTGTCCATAACAAAGTTGAAAAAACCGTGAAAAGGTGTATTACTCTTAGGACTAGCAACTGTCCCAAGAGAAATTGAAAATGCAAATTTTTGGATAGACAACGAACAAAGAGTACTATGATATTTTGATATTATTATACTTTCATCTCATGTTTTATTTTTTTCAGATATTCTTTGACAACGAGATTTTCCTTTCTTTTATTTTATAAAATATGCATTGCGGGTCTGAAGAACGGCCGAAACAAAAGCCTCGCGCTGCGGAGGGTTTTTTCTTTTGCATCGGTAAACTCTCCCTATCCTTCGCAGTTCTGAACTCAGCTAAGTAAGGAAATTGAAGAGCATGGAATTGGAAATGTTCTATCCTCATAAACTATTTGAATGCTTCTGTAAACTGCATTACCGTCGGTTGCCTCTAAATAAGTATGTACACGTGAGGAAAAAACACGTTATAATTCGGGTTGCAAACATGACATGTTTTGCCGTCAAACATTCAAAGTTTGGAGTAGGCGGCTGTTGTAGACTGTTGTACACTCAGCAAAATATTCTTGTTAAGAATTTTTAGATGATAAGAATAATTTCTGGAGGCAAGCGTGCTATTTCTGAGCGAGAAATATGCCCGAAAGTTGAGAAAAGTAAAATATGAGCGGATTGCGTTGATCAAAAACATATAAACAACTTCCCGTTTGGCGGGACAGTTTGCCTTAACGGCAACGATTATTCCTTGGCTCGGTCGAGATAGATCCTGGGAGATAGATATGCCGGTGCTTACCACTCCTCATGAAAGTGTTGAGTAAATTGCCTTCATCTTAGGCTAATTATTGTTAATTATTTTGGGATTTTAATTTTGTTTGATGGTATTATTTCCAATTTTAATTTTTTTTTTATCCCTGAATATACTTTTAGTCGACCCTAGATCAAGAGCTCCAAAACGACTGCACCGGAAACACTAGGCGTTCATGAGAGTCCATCGGCGCCGCACTCTTCAGAACCTCTTTCGGTTCTATTTCATTTTTCTGTTGTTTGCCATTTTCATGTGTATTTCACTTCATTTATTCACAATTATTTCCTTTTAATGTCTTAACATTTTTGTATCAAGAGCACAATAAAAATTGTTGTTGTTGTTCATTATTGACATTCTTCTTTTTCTCTTGATTCATAACCAGGAGAGGACAAGGGAAGCAAAAGCGACTGGTGCCTAAGTGACTACAAGTTTGGTATAGTTGTAGGAGTAGGAGCTGTGGTCGCAGCTCCTTTTGCTCTCGGTGCTGCAGGATTTACCGCTACAGGCGTAGCAGCGGGTTCGACCGCTGCAGCTGTCCAATCCACCGTGTACGGAGCATCAGTTGGTTCTGGTTCTGTTTTCGCAGTCCTCCAGAGTGCCGGAGCCGCCGGAATTGGTGGGGCGGCAAAAGTGGCCATAGGTACCACTGTTGGGGCAGCGGCGACATATTTGAAAAGCAAGCTCTACCCATGTAACTAGGACGAAGCATAGTGCAGATCAGATGACAAGTAGTGAATAACACCTTCACCTCTGTGGATTTCTTTTGATTTTGTTTGTTTCAGTTGCTTACAAAGTGCAGCAGGCTAAGGCACTAGGCAAGGACTTTGGATCAATGTACTTATTTTCTCTTTTTGTTACGAACCTTATGACAAACAAATAAGACAAATTATTTTTTTTAAGCTTGCGAGCCAGGGTAGGTGGAATCCTACCCTGCGAGCAGAGGCTACATTTTCGCGGTTTGAGATGGCGAGCGAAAAGTAGCCTCTGCCGACAACCGTTCAATTTTCTATCGTGCAAGCGCAAAATTCGTCGCGCGATTCGCAAGCAACTGGTTCGTCAAATCTGCGTGAGTTTCGCGGGAATCAAAATTGCGAAAACTACTTGCGAACAACTCTCCTCGGGCTTTTGTTTTGTTTTTCTGCTTTGCCCGTCTGCTTTGCCCGTTCGTCGGATCGTCTTTTGAGAAAGCATTATGCTACTAACTGTAGCATGTCCTGTCTGATTTGAGGGGAACACATTTAACTCCAAAGGGCAGTTTTTTTTTTCCGGCTTATTGGTATAGGTAATACGTATACACTCATCAGTAAAGAAGTTTTAAGCCAGAACAAGAGATAATATTATGATCTCTTGGCTAGAGTTAAACCATCTTAACGCCTTTGTAAAAATTGCTACCGGCGCGGCGCATTGATACTATATATAAAAAGCTGGAAAAATCACGGTTCTGAAACGTTTTATGGAGCGCTGGTTTAACCCATAAACGACTGTTCCACCGGCGCGTTTTTAGGAAGTTTTCATTTCAAAAAACGGTATTTTCATGACCATTTAAGCAGTTAACAGAAGGTGCAAATGAGCTTTCGAAAATTTTCTTATTTTAAATCTATAACAAGCTTTACCGGTAAACCATAGTTTTAATTTGCTCAAAGTGAAAAATGAAGTTCGACGACAACCCTACGCAGAAGTGATGCGTGTAATAAATTGGATGCTGTAGTCTCACGATTGCGTTTTAAACCAATATTATGAATGAACATAGACAAAACAATAGTCAGAGAACTTATTTATCGAAAAATTTTATTAGAAAACCCATAATTTTATCCTCAAAAGCAATTCGCGTAACACTAACTGGGTAGTGGATCCTTTCACGCAAGTAAAAGCGCCGAAGACATTGAATGTCAACGCCAAAATCCGTCTCAAATCATATAAAAGCTCTATGACACATAAACACTTAAGTTTCCACTTTAAAACGGAATTCCTTGACCATACTGTGCAAATTGTACCTGAAAATCTTTAAAAACGTTGCCGCTTTGGCTTCTTTTCAGAACAGGATAAGCGTTCCATAGTGAAGATTAACCAACCAGTTTGAAGTCCTTGAGGGCGAATCGTTTTTCAGCTAAAAGCTTCTTTTCTTCTTTTTCCACTAAAAGAAAACTTATCGATGATTCTTTTGAACTTTCCGGTTTCCATCTGTGTCTTAAAACAGAGCATTTCGCCTTGTATTGAGAGGCGACACAACAAAATCACCGCTATATCCATTTTCTTTTCCTGGCAAACAAGAACTACAATCTGATAAATTAACGATCTTTACCCTGTCCCGTACGTAAGAGGCACCGGCTTGTTTTGGTATTCCAACAGCTTTAAAATACAGAGCTTCCTCAAGTTGACGATGCTCTTCTAAATACATAAACAGGGATTTTTGAAATTGTTTTGAACTTTTTACGCTCGAGCCGCGTTCGCATGCGAAAATTTGGCGGGAAGGGCGCAATAATGGTCAGCGTTCATTCGCTGATGCAAGACTCACGCAATGCTCTAAACCGGTCAAGAACAGGTAAAAACCCGATTTTTTAATTTATTCGTCCAGATTTCTGGACGGATTTGAACGGTAGTCGGCAGCGGCTACTTTTCGCATGCCCTCTCATACGGCGAAAATGTAGCCTCTGCTCGAGGGGTAGCGGAATCCTCCAAATCCTGCAATCTGATTGGTTCCGAGAGCGGGCGGTTTTTTACGATCTTGCCCGCTAACCCGGGCGGAATCGTTGGCAACTTCATTCACAGGTTTGTTTTTGTTCGTGAATGAGCAAAACCAGTGATTTTTGACCATTTTTCTTTTAAAACTTGCGCTATTATTAGCATTAGCTAGGGGAAAGTGAATTTTGTTTTTCAAACAAAAAATCTGAAGGGAGAATCAGGCAAGTCAGACAGGTAAACCGCTAAAGTAAAGCGAAACTGGTTGCTCGTGATGTCGCCTGACTAGCTTTATAAACTACGCTGTAAGTACTGCAATCTTGCTTTTATGCACCGTTTACTCGACATTTTTGCTCTGTTTGTAGGTTTGTTGTCTATTTTTGCTGTGTGAATCTAGATTCTGCCGTTTTTCATTGAATTTTGCCTCGCTAGTTTTCTATTTTTCAGAAAAGGTTGTCGTCAACGATTGCATTTAGCTTTCAATCTTGAATATACAACACGAACAACTTTTCCAGCACTCGGTTATCGCCGTTTTTATTTCTTTGTTTATATACTTGTTTAGTTACCCACATCGCCCTCTTTTATTCAAATTCAATTAAAAACCCTAATATTTGTATGTTTAATTAGCTCTTTTTATAAAGCCTTTGTGCAGTTTCTATCACGCTCGATATAAAGTATATATTCAGCCGAAGAAAATCTTTGCTGTATTTTCTTTCCTGTGGCTTTTAAGTTCGTCAATTCTTTTATCCTTGTTTGACACTCATATTATGAATTATCTACCAAGACACAAAAACCTTTCTTTATTCTAAAAGAGAGCTTAATTGTGATAATATAAATTACAAGTTCAAAAATCATGTTGTAATGTTTTGTTTTGGTTTGCAATCGATCGCGCGCTTTGAACATCCATACGAACGCGCCCTTCTTCAAGACAAATAGGTTGGAGGCTGAAGTAAAATTTTCCTGAAACTTTTAAAGGCTCAGTAGGAAAAAAAATAAAAATGTTATTCACCGGCCTAGGTCGGTCCGTACTGGGAGAAACTGTGCCCTCGGTCTGAGTACTCGCTACTCGGTACTCAAGACCTCGGGTACAGTTTCTCCCAATATGGACCTCCCAGCCGGTGAATAACATATACATATTTGAACAAAGTAAAACTCATTTCACTGGGATGAAGAATCGAAGTAACCGTATGTAGTCTTTCATTTTGGAGCTGTTTGTCTCTTAACATACGTACACTCCACTAACCCTAGCTTGCGACCCTACCACTTTGTTGAAAAGGTTGAAATACATTTTCGATATTAACATACAATCAAATCATCGTTCGTACAATCTTGAAAAGGTCTAAGACTTGAATTTTACCAGTTGTCTGGAAAAGTTCTTGAATTCGGTATACGTCCTTGAAAAGTACTTGATTTCTTTATTAGGTCATAATCTTGTCTACGCCAAACAATTTTTTTCTGTAAAGTTAGATTTTTCCCGGGGCAAACTTGTCTCATCCTCGGTGTAAGAATCTGTAAAACTCGCGGGTAACGTAAAAACATTTTTGTGCACGAACAACTATATTTTATTAATTCTGTTTCTTTATTTCAAATGCTATTTCTCTGCTTGCAAGTCATACCTGGTCATTTTGCCGCGTTTCGTTTTCGTTGTTTCGGAAACTAGTATAATCGTATAAAACAAGAAGGCGCTGACAGCGGCGTTCAGTCTCGCATGCCTGGAGATTAGATCGAGAAATGGGGAGGCCATTCATTCTACACGAAACAGGATTTACTCGCTAAAGGTTTTTACTTCCTACTTTATCGAAGTCGATCCTTTTTACTTTTTTCTGAATTGATTTAGTACGCGTGTTAGCGATGACCGGAAATACGTCTGCGGCCGCAGGCTACACGCGTGTATAAATACACGAAAATTCAAGGGCCTCGATTCCAAAGAAATTACGTTATTGCCAGAGACCTAAAAAGCGATTTACATTACACGTCATTTCAATCAACGCCTCATTGCTCATCACAAGATCTATTTGCATACAATGAAAGTTTACAAAACCCGACCATCGCAGTTTCCTAATTAAGATTCTTTTTTCCGACCACTCAGTAGTGTTCACCTGTTCCAAAGTAATAGAGTTTCAAGCGATAGAATTCGTGGACCGACACTTTTCGGAAAAGCTGATCTAAATTTAATCTTTCCTAAGCTTTCTTCCCAAAACATGCGTGGCTTCGATCACGCAACGATTCTTAGTCCCAGTTTCCACGGACTCCTCAAGGAACGCCTGGCACAATGACTCCCCATTTGTATATAAAATACGACGAAACTCCCCCCGGGGGAGGGGGTACTTCCAGAAAAATTAGGTGGGGTGTGAGGCACGCTTACTGAAACCCTTACCCTATTTTAGACCTGATCAAAAATTTGATATCCTACCGTATTTCATACCTGAAGCCCTGGAAAGCGGCGCGTGACCGGAGCGCGTGACAAGCTGTTGCAGCACGTACACGATTGGCGTAAACATTAAAAGAGAAATGGTCTTATCGCCAAACGATGAAGAAGTAGCTTCTTCTAGAAAACATACCCAATTCAAGACTAGAGTGCACAAACCATACCCTATTTCAGACCAAAATGGTCGAAACTGATACCCTGTTTCAGACCAAAACGGCTAAAAAACTATACCCCTTGACGCCGCTCATGCCTATATATAGCCTATATAAGGGAGTACCCCCCGGGGAAAAAACGCGTTCCAGCCGTATGAGTCTCGCTGCTTACGCAAGCGAGACTAATAACGTGATCAACGATGGCTTAAGAAGGAAAAATCGTATAAATGACTCTCCCTGACGTGTTTTAGCTAATAGGGTGATCAAAGGTGGTTAAAGAATGGCGATTTCTTAAATAAATTTTAGTCCTTGAAAACTGTAATTTGGCTTTGGAAAATCCTTGAAAAGTCCTTGAAATTTCTTTGACTGACGTTGTACGAAAAATGTCAAACAGTGAAGAATGATCCTCTCAGTTGTTAACGCAGTATTGAAGAATGATCAATCTGCAATAATGAAGAATGATGCTCGCAGTTGCGAACGCAGTTACGTTCACACCTGCGAGGATCATTCTTCATTTGATTCCATTTCCGCAGCCTTACATATGATTTATTTTATATAAATTTGTGACACAGTATAGGCACTAAATTAGTAAATAATCTTTAATGAAAATGAAAAAAGAAATGTAGTCTTGAATAGACACTGAGTTTAAACGATTTTGAAAATTGCACTGTGTTTCATTTTCTGAACATCAAAACGAGAAAACTCTGTGGTAAATTCAGACTTTAGATTGTATGTATATATGTATCACACTTCTCCCCCATCCCGTATTTTGCCCGGAGAAAGCTGTCTCCCCCAATATGGCGCTTGTACACATGAACCAACAGTAATTCCCGTTATCTCGCACTTAGCTTTAACGAGAAATTTTTTAAAACCCGGCGTTTTGCACTCAAGGAAGTTCCTTTTTTTGTGACGAACAAGCCACAATTACACTAGATTTTTGAATGGGTCCATTTGAACTTTTACTTTTGAACTTTTAATGACGTTTGGTTTTTCCTCGTTAAATCTTATTTGCTTCGAATATTACGTTAAAAACGGAGAGGAGCATCCATTTTTTAAAATTTTAAATTTTTAACAGAAAAGATCAAACAATAGATGGATAAGCAAAACTAAACTCTTAAGTTTTTGTTACTGGTTTAACCGAGAACACCAACTAAAACAGTTACAGACCGATAAGACAGATCTCCCTGCCCTTTCATATACTTCAGCTAGTGTAATCCCTATCCCTTCACTTTTCATATACCTTAGGTCTGAAAAAGGTACCCTTTCGGACGCCTCCCCGTATTAGCCCATTATAGGGAGTATTGGGAGTACCCCCCCCGGGGGGGGGGGTGGGGGTTAGCCACAGGAAGAGGCTGGAGGTGAAATACACGAAGCAGGACAAATAATAAAAGTTATGTTCAAATTAAACAATCCTAAAAACCATTGAGCAACGGAGCGAAGACTGGACACTTTGAAGACCGGGTGCGACAAGAAGAAGACTGGAAATTAAAAAAGTAAAAATATCCTCATATCACCCCCAGCCTGAGTGCCAATTTTTTAGCCCTGCCGGCCAAAGTCTGATTCAGCCTCTCCTGGAGCCATAATTGGACTGTATTAGCCCATATCAAGGGAGTTACAATACACTTAGAAATAAGACTGTATATTTTACTCACCGAAACGGCCCCCATTTTTATCGCTAAGACGGATCTTTCTGGTTTACAGTGTACCTTGAGAACTCCAAAGAGAAAAAAGTCAAAGTGGTCGAAATGTGGTAAATGAGTGAACAAGAGTCTTCAGGACTGTTCTGAACCTGATCTCAAAATTATTGCTGCAAACGACTGAAATCTGTTGATTGATTGGGGCCTAGCCAACCAGTGAGGCAACATCGATGATCTTCGCCAATTATAATCACAAGCGGACCATTCGGTGAACATGTATTTCTCGGGGGCACCAGCAGCACCAACGGCAAGTGAGTCAAAACGACACAGCAACGCACATTAAGACCACACTAAAACCAAACTGGATTATTTTACTTCAATCATTTAGCATTCTTCCTTAGTAAGCAGCATATTAGGCCCGTCAACAGTTTTCTTTTGTTCAACTTTTGACTTAGACCAGTAAGTTAAAATCCGTCAACACACCACTGAAAAGAGAGCCTAAGAATAGTAAAGTTTGAGAGCGCTAACGCAGAGGCCTTGGGTTCGAATTCCGTTGAAGTATCGAAAATTCTGTAGAATTTATTTGCATTGCAATTGGTTAAATTGCAATAACCACTGCGACGATCATATCTTCATTTAGTGAATTGGAGAGCGATTTGTTGAAAAAACAAAAACAAAAACAAGATAAGTGGCAAAATTTTACGAATTTTCGCCAAGATCTCCGGGATCAAAGCTTGCGAACAAAAAAAAACAAACAAACCAACAAAACAAATGTAAAGGTCTATCATTCTTTATACAACGATGTGAATGTTACTCCCGCTGCGATTAGTCGTTGCCCTTGATCTATTGGAGTGCAAATACATGCATGGATGACGTCACGGGAAAATTGTTTTATTTGCTTTGTTCAACATGGCGCGCGGTTTTGAATATGCTTGTGAGATTATTTCGGATTAAACAAGTGAAAGCCTCCAAAAAAAGTTTAGCGGGAGCTATTTACAAAGAAGAAAAATGGAAAAACGGAGACAAAAAGAGTTCTTGACGACGAATGCCTAAACTGCAAGAAATCTTCACAACAGTTGCCATCGTGTCTCATCGCTCCGAGAGACTCTCTGTTTCGCAAAATATTTTCGCCATTATTCTGCTTTGAGTTAGAAAAGACGCTAAAAAAACCTTTCAATGAAACTGTATACAAAAAAGATAAAGAAAAAAGGACGAAAGAGGAAAACTAGCGCTTGGGACCTAAATAATGTCTAAACTAGCACAAATCTTGGATGAACAGTCAAGCGGTACGAGGCAAGTATCTGTATTGGTCTCTTTCCTTTGCTGATCATTGTATAAAACAAATAGGTTCCATGTTGCCGTGGGTCTGTTCAGTAATATATCACAGAAGACGTCAAAATGTGGTAAAATCATCAGTGACACACGCGTCTGCAGCTCGTGTGCCACTTCTTTGTTTTTACTACATTTTGACATCATACCAATGGACCATCAGTTTGACGAATCGTATCCGTTTGTGTATATTGGACATGTGTGACCGTGGTACAAGGCGGGAGGGTGGATGGAACCCCTTCACCGAGTTTTTGACATGTTGAAGTATTTTGAAACGATTTTACCTTTAGTGGAAAGCCTGTGATCTTCTTAACAAGTTAAGGTATACTGGTGGTGCTGCTGGAGGCCTGTGACGTCACCAACAATGGTCGCCATTTTGGCCGCCATCTTGGATTTTACCAAGAATTGGAAATCAGGTTAAAACCGCGATAAATGGTAATTTTTGGTGCTTTACATGAACAATAATACATAAATAAACAGTCTGTATGATTTTAGCCGCAGCGTTTGCTTTTATTGTTGAAAAAAGTTGAAAAATCATGTATTGCTGGTTTTCAGTGTCACGCCATTGAAAATAGATCAAAATAAAAATCAAAACCGTTCAATAGATAAAGTCCAGAATCTGGGAAATGAAAGGAGGTACATATGCAAAGACCCTCGCCAAGATTCAGATCAGAGGAATATTTCGTATACGAGATATCCGAAGCAATGTTTTACCCAAACTTATAGAGATTTGTATGGAGACGCCATGCTGGTGCTCACCTGGATGAGCTCCAACATGGCGGACGGAAACCACCAGAAACATCTGTTACCGAGTTATGCTACAAAAGCGTGAATTTATTCTTCGAGAAACTCATAAACATTAAAGTTATACTTTTTCTTATACCTGAACTGTTTAGATACCAAAATTTTCTGAAAACTACATGACAGCTCTCTTGGCTGTCATGTAAATGCTGCGTAACGCAAAAGAACCCTTTTGAAGCAAAAATTTGTATGAAAATTAGTTTTCAGCTGCTCTAATGCATCGTGAGAGTAAAATCTCGGTAGGATCGATAGCTTTTTAGTTTGAACCTTAGTGACGTCACGTGAAAACCAAAAAAATTCACCCAAAATTGGCTTGACCACCTTTTTTTAGGCAATTATTAATCGAACTTCTTTAATTATATTTACAGCTAGATGGAGCTGGGCAGATGTTTGTTGGGCAGGAGCAGCTGGCGCTCTTACCGTAGTAGCCGCGCCTGCTGCTTTGACAGTAATGGGATTTACCGCAGCAGGGGTTGCCGCAGGCTCAGTAGCAGCAGCAATCCAGTACGGAGATGGAGGATATGTGGCTTCAGGTAGTGCGTTTGCACTGGCCCAAAGCGTAGGGGCCGCTGGAATTGGCATGAAAGGTGCTGCAGGTCTCTTCTCAGCTGCTACCGCAGGAACTTTTTATGCGAGGAATGATGAAGAATAGAAGGGAAAATGAACATATTAACTACATCTTTAAATGAATAACCATTAGTATCCTTCTATAGGGCGTAGATGTAATAAGAAGAAAAAAGCATGCAGACTATACTGCTTGACTGATAAACGTTAATTTGATTTTATGAACATTTCTCTGTTGGAAGCAATTCAATTCAAGTCTTAAATTTTGATCTTGATACCAAGTTTATTTTGTGAAGATATGTTGTTACTTCCGACCTCATCGGTCTCAATAAGTTTCTCAAGACAAGATAGATTGAAATGATTTCGTTCTGCTGATTCGCTTTCGATCTGATTTCTGCGATCGAAGTATTTGGACAAATTTTAATTTGTACAGAATAGTAAATTTCATTGTTCTTATTGCTTAACATGTGTAAAGTTTGAGCTATAGATGTGAACTGCACATATTTTTGAGTTACTTTATTGCTTGTTGTCGTTGTTGCTGTTGTTTACAAGGATTTCAAATCACTTTGTATTAAATAAAGTTTACAAGTAGTACTTTTTGGAAGGCATAAACAGTCGTATCAGATCCTCTCAGTTACTCTCAGTACAGGGGGGGATCCCAGGAGATACTGCAGGCTGCAAACTGGGTCCGTCTTCGAAGCAACGCTTCCTTCCTAGTCAAACGCACGCAAAAGATACATAATATGTTCATCATGTGCATATTTGTAACATTTTCAGTTTCAAACTCTAATTAGAACATATTCGTGCCCATGTTTTTAATGTTTAACAATATATGAAATGAAGGCGTTTTCCGCACTGTGTTGAAGTTACCTCTCAAACCGCTGCTCTTGTTCTTGTTTTTTTTTTAAGCCCCCAGTAATGTATTTGATAGTCTGGCCTTTAGAGTGTTTTCTGGCCTCTATCAGAGCTGAAATCAATGTTATGACAAAAGAAGCAAAACAAAAAACAAAAAAAAAAACAAGAAAATCGAAGGAACTAAAAACTTCCGCCATTTTGGACCTCTTATTTTTGAGCTACCTTACATGGAAGTTTGGCGACCCGTTAATTTAGCGATTTTGATTAATTAGCGACTTTTCGTACATTTTGAAACAAAACTCACAAATTTTCGCGATTTCACAAACTTAAACTTTGGTGAATCAAGGTTTTCAAAGTGTTTTTGAAAGAAACAAACGAACTGTGTATAGAAGTGAGTAAATTATTATTACTGCTCTAACTGTAATGTTATATCTTAAGGCTCTTCTCACAAAGTTATACACGGATGGTGGAATTTCATATTGTACTCACTTAAATTTAGCGACGATTAAAATTAAATGACACTATTTTGGATTACATTTAACAGCTTTACTAAATTTACTATTGTAATAATGCCAAATTAGGTGTTATATAATCATTAAATAGGTCAGAATCGAAATGGAATCGTTTTTTACAGAAAAGAGCAAATTTCCATAATATGGCTGTCAAAGTTCAGTTGCTATGGTAACGTCAATGTTGATGTTCCCGACGCGACGACTTTAAAATGTTCCCAGAGATCTAGAAAGTCTTAGAAAGTTCTTGACTTTTGGCGGTCATAGCTTAAACGACTTCAAAGTTATTTAACTTCAAAGAAAACGCCCCGGTAGACTGAATAGGGTTATGAAAGTCCGTGGTTAGATCTCCTTCAGCGTCACTCGCTTGACCTTGAAGATCCCTTGCAGTGTCTTCATGGTATGAGTTACCTCGCTCCACGATTTAGACTCGGAAAGACCGAGAAACAAATCCAGCAACAAGTGGTAGGAGCGGTAGCTCGAGCCCAGGGTCACCGTATGACCAGCTTGACAAGACGACCGATTGTCCGCGCTGCCCTCATATGCGTAAAAACGTACACGTAAAAAAAGGCAGACGAAAATTCTCTTTCCGTGCTAATAGGGTAGTTTGAGTTACAATATGTCATTTATGTTAACATTATGTCACATAAAGGGCCCGCTGTAATTGGCCACAGCTGTTGTGGTGTCCCTGCCAACGTTCTTTCTGTTTGTCTGTTTGCTTGTTTGTTTGTTTTTGGCGAAGCTAATAAAATAAAACAAAATAGTCCACGAGGTAATAGTTTGTTCTCGTTAAGCGACACTAGGCCTACCTTGATATTCCCCGGCAGTGTGTCCATGATTCGAGTCACCTCACATTTAACTCCAAACTCAGTAGTACGACACGTCCAAGGTGATGACTCAAAATTCATGATGGTGCATTGCTGTGCTTTTTCTCCGAGCACGTGACCAACTTGGAAGTCAAACTCAGGGTTCCCCGGTAAACCAACTATAATGGTGCCAGGTTGAACGTGCGGTGCTAAAGCCTCTAAATAAACTTGATGACAGGCCGCAGGCATCATAAATATCAGCATCTGAGAATCTCGCATAACGTCTTCTGGCTTTGTTGTCACCAGAGCTGGTTTGGATACAATACTGGAGGTATTTTCCCCTTCACAACGAAATGTAACCACAAGTTCCTTTTGCTGCAGTGCAGTATTCCAGCGCTTTGCCTCATCTTTATGCAAAGCAAGAACTCGAACGTCAGCTTCCTTTCGAGAAGATGCGATACCAGCAAAAACATGGGCTCCATCTCCGCTGCCACAAATCACCAACTTTATGGTGTCTGATTTCCTTCCCTATAAATTAAATGAGTGTATATGTTTAATTGGTGTGTTTTTGCACATTTGATTCATGACCAAAGTTATTCTGTATCTGCTGTGCATTATTAATAATATCCGTTGTCAAGGAAAAAACGTTCTTTTATTATTCTATCAGTGACAAAAAAGGTTCAAACCTACGAAAGTATTTGGACAGCAAATTTAAATAGTATTTCCTTTTTCATTACATTCTTCGTCATCATCATCATCATCATCATCATCATCACCATCATCACTATGCTCTAGTGTAAAAGCACTGCAAGCTTTAAAACTGACTAATTATAGAGCTTCTTGGTTTCAATTATTTCAGTTAACGTCCTTAAATTTCGATTTGACGTACATATTATCGTTTTGAATACATCAGGTTAACTGAAGATTTTGAAAAGAGATAAACAGCTTATAAATAGAGATTATATGTTCATTTTATTTACATCACTAACTTTTCAGACTGTGAAACTCACGATCAGAAACCTGAACACCAGAAATATTTCTGGAATGTTACTACGTTGCAAGGGAAAAGCCAATATGGCGTGAGGAAACTAAACAGCGGTATTCACGGTTCTCTTTTCGTTTATAACAAAAAGTCATTCAAAGTTCCTTTTATGAAGTACTTTATTTCCTTAGTTGCTGTTTTGGAATTCGATTAGTTTCAAATGTTGTCAACACATTTTGTGCTGTTGAATTTAGAATCGAATAGGTCGTATTCCGTCAACTCCACTTGCTATTAGAGACCTTTATATCCGACTACGAGTACGAGTTGTGGCCGCGCAGAGGCTGGGACCTGTTTACTTGGACTCGTACTCACTGTCGCTAGATGTCGCAACGAGTGCGAGTTTGTGTTTATGTTTTCGTGCTGCTAATTTTGTCGCAATGTTTTCGAAGAAAAATTTATTAGGAGCATCTATGGTGCTGTATCTGGACGTCGTGATGGACGAGGAGCAAGTGCTAAGCATTTTTAACGACTTAACCAGGAAGAATCCGCCGTTTCCGTATTGTGAATTTGATAAAATTGAAGTACAGTTCAAAGACCGCCCCCAGATGTCGGATGCTGAAGTGAAAGCTGAGTTTAGGTTTGCTCCCTACGAAATAGAACTTCTTAGCCAGGCTCTAAGAATACAAAATTCACCTGCCCGAACGGAACTGTGGCTTCTGGAGAGGAAGGGCTTCTGATGCTCCTCAAGAGATTCGCATACTCTTCGGTTCCCGAAATAAGCCTCATTTAAGCAGAAGTAACCGACCATGTTGTCAGTACTCAAGGTCATCTTCTTCAAGATCTCAATCAGCATTGGTTACAGCCGAATGAACATGGAGGAGGTTGCCCGGGCAATCCACCAGAAGGGCGCAGCCCTAGACAACTGCTGTGGCTTTGTCGATGGGACCATAAGACCAATCTGCCGGCCCGGAGAGAACCGACGTGTCGTGTGCAATGGTCATAAAAGAGTTCACTTTTTGAAGTTTCAGTCTGTTGTGCCTCCCAATGGTATGATCGCTAACTGATCAATGCCAGGACCCACTTTCAGATCAAAAATGCCATCCTATTCCAGAAATACTTTCCGTACACGTAGGGAAGTAACAGCCATATTTTATTTTATTTTATTTCATTTTATTTTATTTGCAGTAGGGTTTTTTTAGTCTGATATTCAAGAATATGTGTATCGTCACGCTCAATGCGGACCACTGAGGAAACGAAAAAGTAAATTGATTTTATTTGAGATAGAGATTATTGAAAATGGGATTCAAAACTGTGATGAAAGTAGCTTTCTATCTCCAGTTTTAATTTTTTTAACCACAACGAGTCAAAAATCATGCATAGTAAGTCACAGTCAATTTGGCTCAGTAAAAATGTGGGGTGATCAACAAATCGACCATTTTTTTAGAGATAGTAAATGATACAGCCATCATGGTTTCAAAAAAAAACTATCTGTGGAAATACCATCATTATAAAATGTTGGTACCATCATACGTACATATTAAAAATTCTCCAACAAAATTGTATTGTTAAATGCTACATATATATATATGTATGTGATGTATTATTTTGCATTATTTTGGTGCATTTTTCATGGCTGGTTGCTCCTGCTGAAATTTCTGCTGCTGTTGCAAAACAACTTTTTGAAATTGCTGCTGTTGTTGTAATTCTGATGCCCTTAAATCAAGCTCTCTTCGTCTAATTTTCCAGTGCTCCTGCTGTTCAGCTTTCTTCATGGCTATACTCTGCTGCATCATTTCCAGTAAGTTTGTATGGCTTTGCTTCTTCTTTGGTGATTCCTCTTCTGGTTCATCACAATCATATGCATCTCTATTTCGTCTTTTGGTAGCACTCAACTTTTCAGTTGCCGTCTTTCTCATTTGCACTGCTGTTACTTTCTCAGTAGTTTCCTTTGTTTGTCGCACCTCTTCACATCATGTCATCCTCTCATAAATTTCTGTTAATGCTTGATGATTTTCATCATATTCAACTTCAGCACCACTAGTCATTATCTCATTTTTTCCCCTTTCTTTGAACTCTTGATTGAGTTTGTCGAACTTTTCTCGCACCGATCTTTGTGTTACCTTCATTCCCTGTGTATTCAAGGTGTCTGCTATATGAGACCAAGCAGTCCCTCTCTCTTTTGTTCCAGGATTAAACTTATACGGTTCTTCCAACAGAATCTATTTTAGTAAAGGAGTCTCATGAAATTTTTTCCAGATGAATACTTCACGTTTTGGCCATGGTGGTCTAAACAACAACAACAACAACAACAACAATTTATTAGGTACTTTCGTTGAGTTACATGGCATTACCCAAAATAGCAATAAAAATATCTGATGGTAAAAAAAAAAAGAAATTAATGATGAAAGGTCACAATAGTGCATCATTTTGTTTTTAAAGAAGATTCACGTCTTATTTTCATCAGTTGAAAAATAAAAGCAGAAAATGAAGGGATGAATACTTATTTTGAAAAAAAACTTCTGTTTTACTTTAACACAAACTAAATTTTTAATTGCTTGCCTAATAAGGTAGCTCTGTAATTAATACAAGAGCATTTAGCTGTGACAAATTTCCGTCATAACTTATTCGTTTTTAACGCGATGGCTGCGAAACTTTGCAAAGAACACCAGAAGTCATTCGGTAATAATGTGAAATTTTCCGATTTCATTGATGGTAAATATTTCTTGAGAAATTAGCGCTTCAAAGGACCCTGCTGTTCAAAGAAAATCGCGTCTAGCAAAAAATTTTGCTGATATTTTTTACTGAAATTTCTGGTATCGGCTTTTATTGATATAATAAATATGCCAAAGAAATTTCAGAAAAATCGTTGGAGCAGAAGTCCGTAACTAATAGTCGCTCAAAATCCAGCTGTAAAATTGTTTTAGAATTTTAAAAATAAATTACTATCAGCTAGAAGGAGCCACCAGTTCGAATTTTCGGGACAAGTGAATTCAATATTTGCCAATTCTGAAAACAAAAGCCGATTGCCTATTGTACTATTCTTTAAAAGGTCCTCTTTAGTTTTAGAAGCACTATAAATTGTTCCAAACCTTGCTCTGAAGTCGAATGACTTGTTCCTCGTCATTTTTATAATATCCCTTGGCAGTTTTGGTTCCAACTCCTGCTACATACATTTTGATGTATTGTAATGCATCCTTAACGGCTTTTCTTGCTGTACGTTGCTTCCAATTCAGGAAATAGGTATTCGGATTGTAAGCTACCTTAACTTACCTTGTATCGAAGCTCAGATCACGGAACTGTCCAGCACCTTTGTTTATGACAAGAAATGCGCACGAGCGGCAGCTGTGCGAGGAATTCGCACCTCAGCCAGGGGGATGAACGGCAATGATGCCCACGTCTGCGAACCGATCTGTATAAACATGTACTGCAGAGCAAAACATGATAATCAAGAAAAAAACCACCCATTCATTGAAGGAAGGAGTGACAAGAATTTCAGAGTTGTAAATTTATTCACGAGCAGTATTTTTGCGATAATTTTATTTTGCACTGTGATGTGATTCGGTTCACAGGTATAGGCTTCATTGTCGATCGTTCCCCTGGGTGAGGTGCGAATTCTTTGCAGAACTGCCACTCGTGCTCATTTTGTAGTCATAAACAAAGGTGCTGAACAGTTCTATCTGAGCTCTGATACGAGGTAGCGTCCAATCTCAATACCTTTTTCCTGAGTTGGAAGCAACGAACGGCAGTAAAAACAATGAAAATGCATTGCAATACATCAAAATGCATGTAGCAGGAGTTTGAGCCAAAACTTCCAAGGGATATTTCAAAAATGTCAAGAAACAAGTCATTCTACTTCAGAGCAAGGATTGGAGCAATTTATAGTGCTTCTAAAACTAAAAAGTACCTTTTAAAGAATAGTGCGATAGGCAATCGCCTTTTGCTTTAAGAATTAGGAAACATTGAATTTACTTGTCCCGAAAATTCAAACTGGTGTCTCCGTCTACCTGATAGCAATTTATTCTTGAAATTCCAAAACAATTTCACAGCTAAATTTAGGGGCGACTTTTAGTTACGGACTTCTGCTCCAACGATTTTTCTGAAATTCCTCTGCCATATTTATTATATCAATTGAAGCCGATACCAGAAATTTCAGTAAAAAATATCAGCAAATGTTTTTGACTAGACGCAATTTTCTTTGAACAGTAGGGTCCTTTAAAGCGCTAATTTAGCAAAATATATTTGCCATCAACGAAATCGGAATATTTCGTACTATTGCCGAATGATATCTGTTGTTCTTTGCAAAGATTCTCAGCCATCACGTTAAAAACAAAAAAGTTATGACGAAAACTTCTTAACAGTTAAATGCGCCTGTATTAATGACGGAGCCACCTTAAATCAATAAGTAACGCTTAACTTATATGACCTTTAATATAAGAAATAGCTCAAGTTTTGTTTCAAGAGCATTACCTTAATAACTCAGGGAAAAATTATTTTCTTTAGGTAAACTCTAGAGGCGAAAAAATGAAAAAGACCTTCCGATAACTAAAAATATCACCTTAATTGAAAGAAACTACGTTTGAAGCCCGTAAGAGTTTAAAAACTGGTGGATTCGCCAGAACCTTTATGAATAAAAATTTAAAGTTCATCTTTCGGAAGAAAATTACCGAATCGTTTAAATAAGCTTATAGGTCCAGAAAATCTTAGAGCAATTCTGCCTGAAGAAAAAGAACGACCACGTTTGCGTAACTCAAGATTTTTTTCTCCCGGTCACATGTTCATCGTCCTCACCGCGGTACGATAATTTAATATGGCTTTATAGAATGCAAGATATTTTTCTCAGAAAGGGGAAGCTACATTGGCTAAAGTAAGCTGTAAAGAGCGTCTGTAAAGGTTTGTCATTTTCGTTGCATTTGCCAAATGTGACAAACGTTTGCCATTAAAAACTTTCTTCACCGCTTCACTAGGTGCATTTTACAACAAACCAACTCTTTTCACCTTAGGCCAAAGAAACAAACGTACCTTCAAAATCTCGTAGTCCCCACTACCACTTCTCAGAAAAAAGTTGTTGGCGACGAAAAGTGGACAACGAGTTTGTTCACTTGCGTGATGTTGTCACGGTCATGACGCATGCGCAGTCCTTCAAAAACAGTAAACTCGTACTGGTAGTCGTATTCGTAGTCGGATCTAAAGGACTCTATTTGACTGCCCGTGGCAGTCGTCTCCAACTAAAAAAGACAAAATGGCGGACGCATAACCGCCCCAGAAGGCATTCCGTGTTACGTTCTTCTGCTTTATAAAATGGGGACGATCATTCGATTGGGCCAGTCGTTTCAAATATAAACAAGAAAAACGGGAAACATCAATCCCACCAATATGAATGAAAACATGAAAAGACAAGTTATCCTATTAGAACGAGAAAAGAAAGCTATTATTTTTAACTGGGACATCTTCAGAATGCACCCTCTCCTCCAACCCCCCCCCCCCCCCCCCACCAACCCCCCCCCCCCTCCAAAAAAAACCCACCCCCCAAAAACACAACAAATTTAAAAAAACAAAAAAATCCAAAAATTATCCACTTTATTTTTTTTTTTATTTTTTTGTTTATATTTTATATATATAATGGAAATGTGGTCTATCGGTGATCACGCACCGCCATTCAAAAAAAAACAAAAAAAAAGGGCAAAACAAATGCCACAAAAAATAAAAAAAGAAATAAAAAAGAAAGTTAGCCATTATAAAAAGGAAAAAAAATAAATATTTTTAACGTGGGCAACTTCCAAAATCCCCCCCTCTCCCCACCCCCCCCCCCCCCCCCAACACCAACCCGTCACCCTTCAAAAATATAACATGACACTCAAAACGTGACAAATTTAAACTAACTGAAAATTCCCAAAATTATTCTCGTTCTTAGTTTTAGTATTGTTTTGTCTGATATTGCATGAATTTTAAAGCTCTTCTCTATGCATGTTCTGTTCGTCGGGGCAGCAGCCCGATATACCTTTGTTTTTAGTTTAATTCTGCTGTCCGCTGTTAATGTTAACATACTAATCATGCAAACTTTCGAGCCTTACAAATAATTTTAAACTCCCCAGAGTTGCAGCAATCCCAGTTAATCCAGTACCACCACCAATGGCGGCTGTCGCCGCTGAGCCAATAACTCCGGTGGCACCTGCACTCTGACCTAGAGCAAACAGACTTCCGGCAGCTACAGATCCACCATAAACAGCTGACTGTACACCTGCTGCAATAGAACCAGCAGCAACTCCAGCGGAAGTGAATCCAGCCGCACCCAAAGCAGCACCAGCAATCACTGGAGCGGCAAGTACACCTACAGCAGTAGCAGCCACCCCCACGGCTGCAGCAGCTGCAATCTTCTTGGTTTTGTTAGAGGATGGTTTTTTTCCTGTTCAACAAAATGCAAATAAACCTTTCTAAATATCGAATGATCAATGACCTCTTAACCATTAATTAGTCCTTGTTAAAAATTACCGAGGATAAAACTCTGATGTTGTAGGTGTTGTTTTTAAAACGGCGGACGCCTTACTATCAGCCATTGGCCTTCTTTGTTTGTTTGTTTGTTTTTTTTTGGTCACCTTTTATTATAGTATGGCGTGTTCTAGCTAAGACAAAAAAATGGACAACTTAAAACTCAAAATAATATTAGTTACGTTCGTTCAGATGATAGCTACAGTTCAGAGCATTTCAACTTTTGGAAATTATAAATGTTTGAAACTATTAGCATAACGTGGTCTAACATCACGACATGGCGGCTTTGAAATATCCTCGAGCGGATTCGAGTTGGTATGAAAATCTGCCGTGTTTCGCGTTTTTGCAGCAGTCTTTGCCAACCTTGAAGTGACACAGTGAGGAAGAAGAAGTGGTAGAAGACTTGTGCATAAGATGGCAAACAATGGTGGCGAAATATTAGAGAAAGTGAGAGTTTTCTTTCGATGTACGAGTCAATTTTACTTGTTATTTCGTGCAACGAATCATCTTCACTTTTGAAATACCTCCCTTTAATACTTTTTACAGGTATTGGAAAAAAAAACTTGGAACTTTCTCAAGATATTCTAGTTGTTTCGTGTGTTATGTGGAGATGGGCCACAGTTCGCGCGAGCGAGTCTTTGTAAGCAATCGTTTGTGGCAAAATGTCAGTAACGCTTTCAAGGTGACCATCGAGACAATACTACTCCGCGAGCAGTGGTTTCTCCACGTAGGCTTGACGCTGTGCTATGAAGGGAGAGAAACCACTGCAAGCGACCGTTTGCTTTTTTATCGAGCATGCACGTCCAAATGACGCCTTCGTCAAAACGCTTTTATTACATCACTTCCTCTTGATTCACAGAAAACATTGGGACTTTGAGGTATCCAGGTGAATCCAGCCTGTGCTTGGCACTTTTCTGTACATCTCTTTGCCGTTATTGCACTACTATGACGTGAAAATACAAAGACGAAATTTTATTTTTCTTTCTGAACTTCGATAGGGTCCCTAGGAATTTAACTTGTTTGACTCAGCCAGGGAGGCTAAGCAACACTGCAAAAAGATGGAGACTTCATGTGTTATAGTTTGGACGATCTCAGTACGAGATTCCGCCGACTTTCGGAAGCTTTTGCTTCTGCGGCAGTGACACTGATTCGGTCAGCAAGGCCTCTTTTTCTCCAAAATTTGTCAGAGGAATACAAAATTGGTCAAATTTGACTCAAAAAGCATTTACAAAAAATAAATATTTCTGTGCTCAACAAAACATTCAGTAAGACTAACGAATTTAGCTGGTTTTTACCATTGTCTGATGGAGTGCAATTTTCTGCATTTTCAACATTCCGGGGTAATTCTGGTTCCTCTGGTTGCTCTGGTTCCCCTGGTTGCTCCGGTTGCTCCGGTTCCCCTGGTTGCTCCGGTTCCACCATCTCCACTGGTTGCTCCGAGTCCTCTAAATCACTTGACTCCCCCTCCCTCTCTTCCTGCTCAAAGGAGAAATATCTTCAGTATAAGCCCTCTTTTGGCTCTACTGTTTTCGCTATTAAATTCAATCGGGTGAGTAGCTACCATGGGTGCCAGAGACTTTTTATGCGTGGTTTTCAGTTTCAGTCAAACCTTCAGCAGTGACAAGCGCGAGAATTAAAAGCCTCTGGAACCCTATTGCTTAGATAGCGCCGAGCCAATCGCAAGCACGGTTTTATAATCGGTTTAGCCCAGATTTTGGACATTGCGGTTTTATACGGGATGGCTCCTCCCCGAAGGACCAATTCATCACTAATAATATACAAAGAGGTACCTCTTTCGTATACCTTCCACTGAAAAAAGGTACCCCTTTAACATACCCACTTAATAAGAATAAATCGCTAAAACAGGGAGTCTTCTTATTATTTTCGTTTTACCATGGGCTCCTTGTGTAACGTTTAAGGCTCGTCGCTATGGAAGATAAGGCCCTTCAAAGGCCCTTTCACATGCTTAAATTCCGATTTTCCTACCCTTTCAGTTTCTTCATATAGTCAGTTCCCCACCGTTTGATAAACCTGACGCCTAATAAAGGTACCAAATCCTGGCCTCCCCTTACAGAATAATTTCTCTTAAAGATTCTAATCATCACTAGTAAGCATAAAATCATGAATAATAACTCAGCGCTTCCACGACTAGCAACTTGCCGACAGTCTTTTTTGCCCTCATGCATTGATAAGTCTATGACGACCTTTCCTAAAAATTATCTGAGAACATTTAAAAGTTGTCGTGACGTGTACGCTACCCTTGATGTTCCCATGGCAACCGAGTTTTGACAGTCATGTTTTTCAAAATTTGCTTTTTTCGTATAAAGGAGGATTTGTAATTTTACTTATTAAAAAAATTGATTTAGTATGAAACCCAATTAAGCAATATTTTTTATAACTTACCAGTTATGGCTATTAGTAACGCTTTTTAGTAACTAATTTGAGAAAAAAAAACATGAATTTAAAATGACCAACGGCAGATGTCGGGATCAAGTTTTAAAAATGTTTGCTTCTCTCGGAATTCTTAAACTTGCGAATTTTTTGTGCTTCCTGAGCATCCTTTTGTACACAGATCAATTTTTTTCTGTCACGATTAGCCCCATGTAAACGTGTTTTCAGGGGTGGGCCGGAAGTTTTAAGAACGGCTCACAGGATTGGTTTAGAAAACAATAGATAGCCCTCACCACAACAAAACTAACAATGAACCCTAACTCTGAAACGATAGAGCTTCAGGCCAGCAAAAACCTATCAAATTAGAGGTTCTAAAGAGGTTCTAGCCAACAGGGATTTTAGGAAAATTGAATACATTTAGCTAATTCAAAATGGCGGATCCAACATGACGTTACAGCTATTGTTAAAGGTTACTAATGTGTTAACCTATATCTTGATTTTGTTAGACACCTCACTATTTGAGAATTTTTCGCTTTGAGGAGGACGAAATTCAACAATATGAAGTCATAATGACGTCACTGTACCAATCAAGTTGTGCCTAGATGTTGGAAATGATGAGAACATTATTCTGTGTAATTTTGGTGGCCGTATCATAAGCGTTTTTGAAGTTATAGGGGCGGCTGTAGGAGACCTCCTCCCCCTCCCCCCTCAACCGCAGGAAGCACAAAAAAAGAAGACAGGTCTGAATAGGGTTAAGGGCCCACTCAAGATGTCGGAAAAGGCTTTATACTCATTTCCTCAGCTTCAAGGATCCAAAATTACGCTCAATTCGTCCTGTTTTTTCTTTAAATAGTCTGTTTGTTAATGTAACAAAAACCGAAGCTATGCTTTTCGGAACCGCCCCTAGATTATCTGCTGTTAACTCTTTTTCTATTACTTTAAATAACAATGTAATTAAGCGGGTTTTTCACTTCACTTATCTAGGTATAGTTTTTGATGACCGCCTTAGCTGGAACGAGCAAATAAAGTACCTAATTTCGAAGGCGGGAAAACGCGTCCAGGAATGCTCGGCAGGCTTCGCAGAAGCCTCACTAGAGAGAGTGCAAATGTAGTGTACTGTAGTCTAATTAGGCCAATTTTAGAATACTGTGTAAGTGTGTGGGGCTGTTGCGGGGAAGGTCGTAAACAAGACCTTGAAGCCCTCCAAAACCGGGCTGCTAGGATAGTGGCTTGTACTGTGCGCAGCAAGCAGGCATTGGACGTTCTGAAATGGCCCACCTTGGAGGACCGCCGACGTCAATCTGTTTTTAAACTCGTTAAGAAATGCCTGCAAGGTCAATGTCCCCAGTATTTTAAACATTATTTTAAACGTAATAATACAATCCATGCGCGCGCTACTAGACAAAGCAACCTCTTACATCCGCCTGCTGTGAGAACTGAAATTGCAAAAAGATCCTTCTATTATTATGGTTGCACTCTTTTTAACGAATTATCTTAATGATATTTCGTGTTTTACATCTTTTAATCTTTTAATTGAAAATAGTTTTCTATTTATATTATTACCTGTATTAGTGTAATGTTTATATGTTTAGTGTGTTTTTGTGCGTTGTTGCTCAGGGCTCCCATTGATAACAGACAGCTTTTTGCGTCTGAAGGGGCTACCCTGAGCGGTATAAATTAATAAAGGTTCTTCTTCTTCTTCTTCTTCTTCTTCTTCTTCTTCTTCTTCTGTTTTCTTTTGAAGCTGAAGCTTGTCGGCATACATTGTGCCACACAAGAAATGATTCTTTCTTGATTTTCATATAACGGGTTGAAGAATAGGTCATGAGCTAATTATATCACTAAATTGAATTATTTAGTAGTTTTCTCCGTAAATTTCATTGGCAATTTAACCGTGTCCGATATGACCCGTCCTATGACAGGTGGACAGTTTTTATTTAGTATTTCCCTAAATTAAGCCATAAACAATTGCTGCTTAGAACTGCTCTAGGCCCTTAGCAGCTAGACATTAGGGAGCTTTAGCATCGACAACATGATCCAAAATCGCCATGCGTACTGGCAGGAGCCTATGACCCAATGGGTCATACGCTCCTGATACTGGAGAGCAAGGGACGTAGTGGGACAAGACAAACATACGGCTAACATCTTTTAAATTTTGTAGCTCCAAAAATTATCCCTACCCCCCACCCCCCCTTCACGGAAAAGGTTTTTGTTTTACACGCCCCACCCCGCTGGAATTTCCATTCCAGGGGGTGCTTCCCCCCCTTCCCCCACCCCCTGGAATTTCCGTAAGTTTGAAAAATGGTCGTGTATCCCCCGGAAGGAATTATGCGAATTACTATTATGCGAAAGACAATTGTTTCTGCGATAAAGAAATTAAGTTAATACAGTGTCAAATAATCTCAATTTTTCTTGTAGAGGTCTTTTTTAGTTAATTGTTAACGGTAAGTCACTGAGAACCATGGAGGCGATACGGACGTACACGACACAAGTGATGCCATCTCTCAAACCAGTGAACTTCAATTGCTTCCTTTCAGACATGTTAGAAGAGGAAGGCTTATTAGAACATGACCACATTTCATTGAATACCACAATACATTGTGCAACACAGCAACAGATAGATAACTGGAATTTTATTCATGTGCCGACGACAATCGTGTTACATACACTTTCGTGCGAGCCGTGAAAAACGGCACTAAGCCGACTGCAAATAAAAGATCACCGATAAAAGATCATCGATGAAAACAATAATTTGCTCATCAATCTTACTCGGAGCCCCCGGAAAAAAAAGACTAGAGAAGCCACCCCCAACCACTCGAAAATTGCCTCCTTTTGGACCCCCGCTCCCCTCTGAATTTCCGTTGCCCTCTGTGGGAAGGGGGAGGGGTATGGATATTTTCTGCAACCATACGATGTTAGTCTCCGAGCGTGTGCGTTTCTTGCTCTCTAGTAGGGTGGTTTTGTACCACGTGACTAACTAGCTGAAAAAAGGTCCTTTGCAAATAGTCATTCACCTGGCATAACCCTCACAAAAAAAACAGAAGCATCTAATCTTTAAGCAGCGTTTTGTTTTAGTTTCAATCGCTTTATATTCATTTTCATGCTAAAGAAACTGTCTTTGACAAATGCTTGCTATTTAAAGATTAAGTATTAACACAGCATGAAAATGGAGATTTGCGCAAAATTAAAGTTTGCGTAAACCTGCGTAAAGTTGGTCATTCAACTTTACGCAAACTTTCCACGGCGCGTAAAGGTTTGTAAAGGTAAATTTACGCGCTCGGCTCTTAAAGGTTTCGTAAAGCTAGCATAAAGATGTTGTAACAGCTTTACGTTCATTTACGCTACAAGTAAAGGTTTAGTAAGGTTGTCATATAATGCTACCTTCCTAACAGGAATTTATTCCCGGCACTGTTTTATAGTAAGTCGTTTGTGTCCTGATACTAGTTCGCATAGGTTTTTTGATCACTCATTTGGTGTTCGATGTTGGTGTGCGATGTAAACAAGCCAACCACGCAAATTTTTTTTTGGCGGTGCGAGCGACTTCGTACACGCTTAAAAATGACGCTGAAAAGAAAATTCTGCTGGCAGAGTTCATGCAAAGATATAGCTTGCGACTGTGCGGCAATTTTCGAAAAACGGCATATCTGTCGCGGCAAACACAATAGCCTGCAATACTCAGTAGTATTGCCTCATTGATTTCAATCAGTATAAGGTGTTTGATACTACAGTTTGTTGCAATTTTAAGCTCACCAAATTCCAGAAAAAATTGAGGTAGTATCATGTGATATTGAGTCGAACCTCCGAACTAACGTCCATCTCTTCTTTAACGGTCACCTCTCTACACGGGCCATTTTTTTTTTTTTTCGGCGGACGGTTCATACATGACATACATTCACTCTTCTTTCAACCTCTCTACTATGGCCACTTTCTCTGATGTCCCTAAGGTGGCCGTTGTAGAGAGTTTCAACTGTAATTTGATCAAATTGAAATAATTGGAAAAATAAAGAAAAAATATCGCCCCGCAAAAACGGCGAGTTTTACTTAAAGAAAGAACGCATTACTTAAAGAGAAAGAACGCATTCACAAATTACTCTGACTATTTTACATTCAACGGAGTACTGGCTTCATCGTTGAACCTCCTTTATCGCCTCCTTATTTTAAGTCCGCGGACTTCAGTTTTGGGAACGGACAATTTGTTAAAAGAAAGGGGCCAGGAAACAATAGAATGAAGGGACACCTGGTCAGCGGGCTTGTTCCTTTGCACATGCTCAATCAGGTTCGTTGATTTGGCGTCCATTTTGAAAGCGGTCAGTATAAAACACGGACTGCGGACTGCGGACTACGGACTGCGGACTGGGTATAAAATACGGAATACGGACTACTTTGGTAAAAACCGTGCAAATTGGTTCTAGGTAAGGAAAAATAAGGTCAAAAGATCGCTAAATAGCAAGACACGTGAGTTAAAGTTGTAAATACTCATATAAATTCTTGGTGGAGGTGTCCCGCCCGGTTCTCTGAATCATGAGCCGGATCAAAATGCTATTTTCTTCACCCATTTTTAGACCTTGTCTTGGTCTCTAACAATCATGAAAGGGGTCAGGATCAGGGGTGGTACTCCCTTATATAATGGAAAGGTAGGGGGTTTGGGCCTTTTTGGTCTGAAAACACTTTGCCCATTTTGGTGTGGAATCGGGTATGGTTTTCGAGGGAGCAACGGGAGCGTACATGACTGGACGTATTTATCGTTTCAGTTCCAAATGAATAAGAACGAAATAGAAATGCATTTGGAAAATTTTTTTGTTTCCGCTCTAGCTTGGTAATGATGACAAAATTTCTGCCTAATTAGACCTAACCTGTTCAAGGCTCTGAGATAGTTGGGTCCGCTGAATTGAGAAAGCGAAAACACGAAAATAAAACGGGAGAAAACTGGGAAGTCTCCCCAACTATCTGAGAACCTGGAACAGGCTAAATTAGGCCAGGTCCGAAAATGGGTATGGATTTTAGAGATCTAGCCTGAAAACGGGTGTGGACAATGACAATTTTGTGGTCTGCAATAATGTCAGGATTCGGAGAACCGGGCACTACACCTCCACCAAGAATTCCCAGTAGTACCCCCTTCCGGTGATCAGGAGCAGGGTGTAAATCATGTCATCATAATCATCGCTTAGAATATAACGTTGGATGACTCATTTCGGTTATTATTCGCGTATGTGAGTAATCCCTCGCACCAAAATACTGCTTTTGTGCATCGCATTGACCTTCTCGTCTAAGTTCTTCATTCAGTCCTCACATTCCCAAGGCTTTATTTGAAAAGGAATTGTGGCATCCGATAAGAATTTTACTGATCTGACTAACACCAATACTATTTTTTTTTTTTATTCTGTGCTTCCTATTGGTGTAAAACTGCAAATTGAAATCTCTTCAAACTCCTTCTTTTCATAAAATTCAGAGTTTGATTTCAGTTGCCTTGAGTACCGGCATAACCTTCCTTCTCCGTGGGAAGAATAGACTACGTGAACAGCGTTAAAGCTGGGACTACTGTTTTTGCTAGTCCGCTTTCTATTTCTCTCAGTTTTACCTTCTAAAGCTGTTTTTATATACATAGTCCGTAGTCCGCGTTTTATACCTAGTCCCTGTTTTATACTCAGTCCGGAGTCCGCATTTTATACCTAGTCCGTATTTTATACCCAGTCCGCAGTCCGTGGTCCGCAGTCCGCAGTCCGTGTTTTATACTGACCGATTTTGAAAGTGTCCAAATTCAAACTTGCTTCTTTGAAAGTTTGGAGATCGTTCATATATTATGCTTCTTGATAGCATCACAGGACATCTTCAGGTTGTTACAATTTATAATGGCACTATCAGCCTTTAGTAATCGATCACTTCTCAAGTGTACAGCAACCTTTTCGGGACGAGATACTCAGTCAGAAATGGAGACAGAAACATCGTGTGAAGCGCAAGCATTAACACTGGAATGACACAGACCAAGACTGTATTACACGTATTACTAAGGCTCTTCGATACTCAAGATCTCAATGAAAAGAGCAGATAGTAACGCAAGGTAAGTTGTCCTGGCTCACCTTTTCTCTAACTTTTTAAGCTTAATTCCAAACTTGTTTATTATGAGTTCCAATGACTGTGTCAAGTACTCAGTAACTAACATTTCAGTGAGCAATGAAACCAGCATTAACCGTTAAAAGTAAGTATAACTAAACAGGTGTATTTAATTGGCATAACCTTTCAATACTAAGCAAGCAACGAGACCATGACGATGAAGATGATAATGTAAAATCATGTAAGGCCTTTGGGGGTCTGAAGGGGTAGAATTTCCTTCTTTTGTACTGGAAAATAGGAGTTTGGTCACTGGTACTGGGAATTACTAAAAGAAAATAATGGAATTAAGAAAGGACATCTGTATAAAGTAAGCTTACATGTAATGTGATACATACATTCTTATGAAAATTTTCACAGACTACAGAAGAACTAATAAACAGAATAGAAAAGCGTTAACAAGACAGTGTTGAATTTGCAAGTAGGCAAAGATAATCTACGTAGTCTGGTTCTATATTTTCATGCGTCAGTCAGTAACAAACCCAAGCTTCCCAATTCCCCGGGCAGTCATAGCGAACAAAACCTCTCTGCAATCCAGGTCATAAGTGATGAATAATTTAACAGCGTGCATGTATTTTTTGAAACAGGTACAAAAGTTTATTTTTGATTTTAAATTACGGGGGTTTTAACTTAAATGAACAGAGAATGAATAGAAATTTTCATGAGTCTTTCAATGCATAGCTAATGCAGAGCATGATTAAATTAGAATGTATTTTCATGTAAGTGCCAACATAGTTGTTAACATCTTCACAGTTTCATACCTTCATCTGCAGTTCAATGTATGATTCATTTTATATATTCCCATTAATTTCAATCTTCATTGTGCACAGCTCTTATGAAATTATATAATATTTGTGGTTCTTGAGAGGGTACAGTGCAGTACATACTGTCAGGAAATTGAATGCCTTACTTTTTGGGAAGCAAAGCACACAGTCATGTTAGAAACCAGAAATTGTTCTATTTGCACCATAGTTGTATCGTCAGTAACTCTAAGTTTAAAGGAAAATAAAATTTAAAGAAACAAGTTGTGAAAGATAAGACCCTTAAGAGAGTCATTACATACACCATTATTAATCTGCAAATACAGCTGTCTCTCTTGTGAAATGTCCCTGGTAGCAAGGAAAGAAAATAGGCTGCTTTATTTACAGGGTACACTGTACATTATTATTAGGAGGCATTGTTTTCAAGATTGAGAATAAGGGCTTTGAATAGCAAAGTGGCTTCACTCCTGTTACATTAACTAGGAACCTTGAACATTTCGTATTAAAAAGGAAAAAAAATATATTAGGTAAAGTTTCAGGAAAATTTGAAACTTTTGGGAATAAGGTGCTTATATGTTTGTATATTTTTCCCTGAAAGTCTTTGGTGGAGCTCATGAGAAGGCTAGGAATGTTTATTTATTTGGAACTTTAGTCCGGGACTGGTAGAAATGTACTTCAGACATGTAAACCTTTGATATGACTTGTCCGTGGGACAAGCACAAATTAATTAGAAAAATAAAGATAAGAAACAGTTGCCTTAATTATTCCATTTAACTTTGCCATTCCACCGCCAGTTGTTTCATTCATTTGCTTTTTCACAAGTTCTGTTGTAGGTTTAATTCAAAAATAATATACAAGGGTGATAATGTGATTAAATAATGTGATTAAAAACATTAAATGCCCATTGCAAGATAAACTTTTTGGACAAGAACTCTAGGTTTCGGACAACCAAATTTAATGTATTGCTTGTGTGAAGGACAAGTGGATAGGAAAATTTCTCTCTTACCAGGGTGCAAAGAAAGTGATTTTTAGAGCTTGCCATTCGGGCAAGCTGAAGCTAGCATATACTAGCCCAAATGTCATTTCATCTAGCCCCCAAAACGTTTTAATGAGCAGAATTGATTTCACAGTTCTTCTTTAATTTGAATTCCTCAAAAAAACTTCATTTGCCCGTCGGGCAAGTTAAGTTCAAAATCCACTATCCCCGGGCTATCGGACACTACTTTCTTTGCACGCTGCTTACTCTCTAATAATAATAATAATGTACATCCAGTGGTTTTTCATAGCACCTACAACAATATTAATGGATGATACTTTTATAAAAATGCATACATGAAAATAAAAAAAGATATACATTGCAAAACATTGAACTCTAATAATATAATAAACCATTGTTAATAAATTAACATATATATATGCTTCAGTCTCCCCAATTAGTAAGGCACTGTGCCTGTGCTATAAGACATGAGACTTTAATAAAGTTCATTACTATTATTATTATTTTTATTATTATTATTATTATCCAATCTCAAGCAGCATTTGTAAATTGCCTATACGTAGCGAGATTAACAATAATGTACATTCAAAAACACAAATAAAGTTCCCATTATTATTATTATTGTTGTTATTATTATTATAGGATTTCCATGTAGCATTTTACCCTGATTTTCACTCAACTGCAAGTAGGGTTCTAAATGTAAATATTATCGCCTCAAAGGAAAGCCTTTAACTCATACTAGTCAAACATTTTGAATCTTTAACAGTCAGATGAATCTTATTCAGTTGTGTGAATTTGTAGACATTGAAATCATTTGCTGCTCAGGTTTTGCACTGTTAGTAGACCCCTTGTGGAAAATGCCTTATCATTTTTTCAAATTTTTAGTCTTGGTTTGTGAAAAGAGGCATGTGGGGAACCCTTTGTCAAGTAAAATTGTGCTGATTGTAGTAATTTGGCCATAAGTGCAGGAAAAAATATTATTAATTAGTAATAGCAGGTGGTGTCCTCTGGCAACTTAGGGAGTGTTTACATGACACCGGGGCAACTTTCGCCCCGGAGCGAGTTCACTCCGATTCCCTCTCATGGCTCTATATTTGTTTACATGATACCACCACAAAATGTCATGCCAGTGCGAGTCACCCCAGCGTGAGTTCACCCTGGTTCTTGTATCAGGGCGAGAATTTCACTCTGGTACAAAATCTCACGGCAGTATCATGTAAACGCGAAACGACCACCCGTTTCAGCGTGAAATCGGTCTGCCGGTAGACTGGAATGGGTAGCGCATGCGTAATGTTTGCGATTTTGAATCACACTTGTGTTTTATCAGCATGAAGTGTACCTTCAAATAACAAGATATGAAATGACTCAGTCATAATATAAACCCGATACAAAATCAAAAAGTCATCCCGGTATGAGACTCGGGCCGGTGCGAGTTTTCTCATGTGAACACCCCCTTACTGTACATGTACTTGTGCCTTTAGTGCCCGATTAAGTGTATTATCACTAGCCTACAAGTAATCTGTGTAGTTTACTCAAATAATACTTGCTTTCTATTTATTCAGCAGATCAGCCTGGTATGGGATGTTGGTGACAGAAAGTCCTCTCAAAGCAAACAGGATTAATACATGTTAATTACAAGCCTTAGTCTTGTAAAGTGGTTCCAGGGCTGTCACGAAGGGCCATAAACCAGACTTTAAATTGGCTACTTTGAGCCCAATACTTGGCTATTTTGAGAGGAAACGAAACTTTCCACATTTTCAATGTCCCGCTCACTAATTTCACTTACCCTGCAACTTGCAATCTTAGTGACAGCCTTGTAGATCTAACTTTTACATCATCAGTTTATGAAAATGATTTGTTATTTGGATTTTGTTGTTAAATTTGACTGTAAACACTTCTGCGAGTGAAAGGGCTAAATCAAGAAACCATCAATGTTATACATCTATTAGGCTTTCAGTCTTTTTATTTCTTATCGAAAATTGTTTAAGCTTTTAATTTGAATTATGCTAAATTATACTAAATATTTTTATTTTGAAAGAGACCATTTTGACCCACCTTTACATTAATTTGTGTGTTAGAGTTGCTGTTTTTTTATCAAAATTTAACTTCATCAGTTTTCTTGTACACCCTGTACCTTACATGTAAATACTAATAATTATTTTAAACTATAAATCTTCTTAATTTGGTATAATACTAATTTAAGATGATTTTTTTTGGATATTTTGAGAAGACTGTTTTGACCCATTTGAAAAGTTTATGTACACTGTATCTTCTTATTTAAACCTTAGGTGTTGGAAAAATTTTCGTTTTTTTTAATTTTTAATGTAATGCCAAAAATGCTAACACAGAAATAAATCATGTTATATTTAGAAAATTCAGTTTTAGAGTATCAGTTTGTTTTGTTTTTTAAAACCTTGTTAATTTATACGGGACTAAACTTAAAGAATGCGATTCGTATTTGCAGCTTTTGCAGTTACAACAATGTAGCATACCCGGTGATTTTCATGGGATTTGAACTGTAAAAATAAAGATAGGCAATTTGAAAATTGGTTATGGTAATGTAAAATTGGAAACGGAAAGGGGCCCTGTTTTTTAAACTACTACTCCTTTGCGAGTCCGCTTAACGCGTAAAAGGATTGTCTAAATAAGATCTTTACACCAACTTTACTCTTCAATTACGCTGGTTTAAGTCTCTACTTTAAAGCGCATTTACACCAGCTTTACGCAGAGCTTAAACAGTCTCTTTACGACACCTTTACGCATGTTAACGAGGACCGGGAAAATTTGGAGCTATACCACAAGAAGAAAAATGCCGCAGAAAACAACTACTAAATTAAAGTTATTATCACCGTAACAACCTGTTCTTCGTTTTTGAATTATGTTAGTTCAACGCGTCTTGATATTGCTTTGAAAGTATCTTCTAGTGAAAGAAGAAGAGTTATTCTATTGATGGAAAGTGTCCAAATTTCTCCTTACTGCTTTACTTGCGAACACGAGGAGAGATGATGCTAGCAAATTTTCGGGTTGAAAATACAGCCATTTTACTTTTCTCGAAAATAAAAGGCTTTTTGCAGGAACAACTTACATCAGATCACTTATCTACCTAAAAGCTATTTATGGACAAAAAATGAAGGAAATGGATTTTTCAACTCTTGCCACTCGATGGTCGATATTTCCTGTCGACCGTCGCTCTTAAATAGTAGTATTCCCCTCCTTTATATACTGTAGAAGCGGCTTGTAGAGAAAATATTATTCTTCGACAAATAAAGCAACGTAATACAAACTTACTTGCCAGGGAATTGGCTTGGTTTGATCACAAGTTTCGTCCTCGCCTTCGTCGGCCATATTTTCATTCATTTGCACGCGACACGCAATCGATACTCGTGTTTAATAGCCGGTATGAACTTTTTATTTCCGGTTCAATACCAGGAACTAACGCGGAAGTCAATCGCGTGTCCCACATGACATGAACACAGCGACAAAACCTCTACGCATGCGCCAGGTTAAGCATTTCCGGTCTCTTTTTCCGTCACATTTTCCAGTCAGATCGCGCTCGGCTTCATTTTGTGTGCAGCTCGAGGTTCAGTTGTTCTGCTTCATACTGCTCGTGTTTTTTTACTATTTTGTAGTTACCGAAATTGCTTTTATGGATAACCAGGCACAGATCACTGAAACAACTATTCGATTATATTCAGAAAAGGTAAGTTGATAATAACTTGTGTAATTTTGGATAAACTGGTTTAATTTTCTCTCACAAAAACAGAGTTTTTGACTTTCTCTTCTCGTGGCCGTTAGATGAGAGTTAAGAGGCAGTCTCCCTAAAAGCGTTCCACTCGATTTTGGACTCGAGAAAACTTTTGCCTTATAATTTTACCATCAACACTACTATCCATCCTAATAACGAAATTGCAGTTAGAATAAGGAAATTGTTTATTTTACTGCCATTCCCAGCATTTCATTGCTGGAAGACGGTTGGCGGCTTAAATATGCAAATTTTAGTCTCTGTTATAAAGGTTTTTTAACGATCGTTCTAAAGTTCTTCGGGTCATCAAATCCTAGACTATTGTACTCATTTGCAAGCATATTACTTCTTCCTACTGTTCCAATACCGTTGAGGCATTATCTTTCTGTAATCAGCAAAAACTGGTCGTCTTTATTTCGCTAATCCAAAAGCAAAGTGCCTCAAATCATCAGAAAATTCTCAAAAGTGGCACCTAAACTAGACCTAAAAACATGTTTTAGCTCAAGATTAATAGCTATTTTGTCAAGTTATACAATAAAACTTGTGGCACAACGCGATTCAGAATTGAAGGTTTCAACTCAAATTTAGGCAAATGTTCAATTTACGTTGCGTGACGATACCATGCTGTCACAACAAAATCCTCAGTTATTCAAATACTTTTAAGTAAGATATGCCTCATTTTCCCACCAAAACTATATTAAAATTCCCTTTTTCCCTTTGCCAATGATACATATTGTTCAAAAATTAGTTCAGCAAGTAAAAGATACCTTTCCAAGCTTCATTTAAACTTTTAAGTAAGATATGCCTCATTTTCCCACCAAAACTATATTAAAATTCCCTTTTTCCCTTTGCCAATGATACATATTGTTCAAAAATTAGTTCAGCAAGTAAAAGATACCTTTCCAAGCTTCATTTAATTTCCCACTGCCCCGAACATTCGTGTTAAGTCTGTTATGTCAAGACGGAAAAATACCTTTTCAGAACCAAACCTCTTCTAGCTTAAAATGTGGTCTAGTCTGAAAAAGCTGCATTGATCAGAAGTTACTCCGATCCATCATACATGTATTATAAAATCGAACGTTAGAAGAAAAGTAAATTTCCCACTGCTTAATTAAATATGCGTGAACAGGTCAGAAAATGTTTGACTTGTACTTCGCCCCAAGTAAAGGTATCCGGATTCCGGAATCTGGAAAATTTTTGCTTGTAGGATCCGGAATCCGGGAAAATTTTGATATGGACTCCGGAATCCAGGGCTTTATGGAATCAGGAATAGAGCTCAAGTACCCTCCTAAGGAATGAAATCTAGAATCCAAGTTCCACTAGAAAAGATGGAATCCAGCACCCGGAATCCTGAATCCATGGAATGGGGTCCAGAATCCAAGACTGTCTTGTGTTCGCTAACATGGGGCGATAGTACTGGACTGTGAACGGCGAAATACTATTTTCCCTTTATTTACCATCCACTGATCAGGAGCCCACATTTGAAGACCTTGTTAATGAAATTTCAGTTAGAAGGTTTCTTCCATTTACTGACTGTTTCTTCCTATTAACAGTAGTCAGCTTTTGGTTTCACGCTCCAAGAGACAGTCTGGAGTGTAAGGCTACTTTTGTATCACAGCCAGTTAATAAAGAAGTTGGCACACGCAAGTAATAAAGTTTCAACATTAATTTCCAATCGTGCAAGATCAGTGAAAGTAACAAGAAAATATAGGGTGGAAGTTCACGCGGTTTTTCCCAACTGATAAAAGTACACGATTGTCAGGGACACCATTACTTCTCACCATGAAACCTGTCATCCATAGACGGTCTGAACTAAATGAAGCAGAGCCAATACTCTCAAAAGATGGTAATCATTGACCCTACGAAAAATCAAGTGAAACAGATGGTGATTTGCTTCCCAAGGAGGACTTCCATACAAAAGTGACGTGGGTGCTCGTCGTTTGAAGATTTGGGTCTCACTTCGGTTGTTTGGAGGGAAAGTGACTAAATATGCTCATTCAGGTATCGCTTAGGGCTGTGCATAAGGAAATTTGCCAAAAAAAAAAAGCCGTGACGCTGACCTCACAGAAATCTCCATTAGGGGTCAGTTTAAGCTTGAGCCACACCCACATTGGCCTCCCTTAGGGGTTTAAATAATAAATTATTAATTTTCCGACGAGCAGCCCCCTCACTTTTATATAGGAGTCCTCCCGGGGATTACCCACAAATATCGGCCTATAAACTCGGTCGATTTTGGCGGCCACAACGTTCTTCGCATAGAGGACCAAGAAAGGAATATTAGGACCAATGACAGGCATGTAATTGATTTGGAGATTGCTAAGATCGTATACTATCTATTTTAAAGGATGGGATCACGTACGTACAAAATCGTAAAATCATTTCTAATATCCTTATCACTAGTTCCTTTATCTGTGATAAGATGTCATAATTTCAAGTTCAGACAATGATAAACTCAGTAGTCCACTCATTTTTTTTTTATTTAGAAATATGCGGCAAGTGAAGATCCAAACATAATGAAGTTATGGAGAAAAGTAGGAAGTGGCTTTAAGTCAAATATCCTGATATTAATCACTGTTGGACTATGGCATAAAGTTACACAGTCAGCTGATGCACATGCACATTTGATATCATTAATGAGCTGACGGATTTGAATATCACAAGATACACGCGTGAAACAGAAAGTGATAAGCGCATATCTAAACCTAATATGCAGCCAAAATCGTGATTACCTACCTTGAGGCATATTACTGAGATCGAAGAGTACTCATGGCAATTGTTTGGTACCATGGAGAATTCACCGACAGAATTTTCTATTGAAGCCCAGCGTGGACAAAAACCTTTGAATTCGAACAATCAGTAGAGGTGAGAACTGACGTGAAGTCTGAATCCGGCATTGTCGAAGGTTTCCTCAGCATGAACATTTCTCCAGGTCGAGTCTGTTTTTACAGACTACACTGTTTTTACGTCTTTTCTCGTCTCACGTCTTGTTAGCGGTTATTACCCTGTTCTTACAGACGCTTGCATTCTACTACGTTAATGATGTAAAAATACATACACCTGAACAACAGCTGAAGGATCTAGGATCACATTTCGAAAAATCGGCCTTTGGACCCTCCGTGTGGATCCAAATTCATATTGATATCGATTTTACTAAATTAGGCGCCACCGCGTTTATCATTTCGTTTTTGCGACCCCGATGCGGCGCTCATTTGATACACCAGCCTACCGGGGAAAATGTTGTTGAGTCACTCAGAGAGGATCTTAATGCTTTTATGTCTGCATACCGAGATGCTATGACAAAGAATATAGACTCAAATACTTCACAAATCTTATGAAAAAAGATACAAAAAAATAAATAAATAAAAACGTTCGAGATCTGGTACAAATTTCCCTAAAATAGTCAAATATAAATCCCCTAGTCGTTCAAAGCTTAAGAACTTGACAGGCTAACGGTTTTATTCAGTGGTCGTATAAACAGGCTACAACCGAACACTGTCAGGCTACTCAGTCACTTCACTCACTGTCCACGACGGAATTGATAGCGTACAGCATTACCAGCATAGCACTAACTAGCACTGTACATAGACAATCAGATTTGTGATCGAAGGCCGGTAGATTTATACATCTTAAAATTTATACTAATATCAAATTCCTAAAGGTGTCCGGACACTAACTTAATTCAATTTACATTTCACAGCTGATTTCATTTTCTAAGGGCAAATAACAATTTACTTGACAAGAATTTATAAGTACGACACTTATTGTGGCGTAGACGTGAATAGCGGGTTGTTGATTTTACTTCTTTGAACTCCAGTCCAGACTTTCTTAATTTTACTTCAAGGACTACCGTGTACCATCGTCTTATATATATAGTGTAAAGGTGAATGTGTGAAGGACCTTCTCGCTGCAAAATGTAAATACTTCCACCTGTCACTGGACAGGAGAAACATTGCCTTCTCGTTAATGTTATCTGTAAAACAAAAATGTTCGTTAGAACGCGATTGAAGTATGTCGGATAGCCTCTTCCAGGCGTCAGACTGTGGGGAAGACCCTCCGAGGAATGCCAGTAAGAAAAGGGCGAGGGGGTGGGGTAGGGAGTAATGCGTATTTTTCCCGACCCACTCTACAAATACATGCATCAGGAGTTCTAGACTTCCGGTTGGATCGCACGGCATTGTGGGTAGGCGGGCTCAGAAAAGTGGGCATCAACTTGCAGCTTCGCCATATTGGATTACACGTGCAGGAATATAGAAAATACAGTTGGACTGAGATAAGTGGGCATCAAATCCTTGTTTGGTCGCCATCTCTGCTTGTTTGAAGTTGTTTCGCTTGATTTATTTCCCTTTGTATTCATAATCGAATCGAAACGAGACTCACTTACAGAAACTCCAGTGACAAGGCCAAAACAGGTAAGGAGTCGTATTTCTGTTCCGTTTTGTTTTTATCTCCTAACTAAATGAATGGACAGAAGTCGGACCAGAGGTGAAGCTCTGATAGTTGAATACGTTTTAACTTTTTATTTATTTTGTTATAATGTAGGTGTGATATGAGTCGTGAAGAGCTGCCTTTCGAGGTTATCCAGACATGGAAACCTGAGCAACTGAAAGAGTTCTGTCGCAAGCGGGACTTGAAGGTTTCAGGAACCA